ACAAGTGCAAAGTATGTTTGATCGCCAAAGTCCTCTCAATCAGGTCTACGTCCAGCGCTATGGACAGCGATGAGAGCTCTTATATATCTCCATATTTGGTTGTTTGAAAGATTCATGGTTCGGGGCACCAGATACAGCAGATGGCAAATACTTTAATGTCAATGTGTTTCGCTGCACGGAGCGCAGCCTCACCCTGACTGGAGTGAGTACAGTTGACGCTTCAAGGCATTTACGTCCAACAGGCAAACAATGCCAATTTTTTCAGTTGGCTCGTCACATCCAGTCAAGACGTTGTTACACTGACTGGACAAAGTATAATGTCCACATCAAAATGAATCGGGGGTTTGTCGTTTTGACCTAATTTTGTTTAAAAATTTTATCATTGAGCCCCCAGCTTTCACCGACAGCGACAAAATATATGCATTCGTTGCACATCCGGTTTTTCATTGCCATCACATGCAAGGAGTTCTTTATCACTAGACTTAATCTAGATTGGTCTTGGTCTGTAACAGACACATTGGTCTGACTGAAAGAATGCCATTGGATGTTTGGCAACAGCGAAATCGTCAGCTTGTCCAAGGCGGATAGCAGCATAAAGCTATTTTATACCGATGTTCAAATTTCAATTGGTCTTTCTAATGTACACCTTGTCGCAGTCTCTGCACCAAACTTTGCAAGCAACATTTAGCACATCTTCCGGGCATGTACTTTTGATATAAAATGTCGCCCGATGTCCGCCTTGGACAGGCTGACAATTCTGGCATCGACCAGCATGCGATCGCCGAAGGGCATTCTTTCGGTCAGACTAACGTCTGTTATAGACAAAGGCCAATCTAAATTAGGTCTGCAGAAAGAGGAATCTTTACATATACTGGCAAAGAAAATCCGGATGTGCAACGAATACATATCTTCTGTTGTCATCAATAAAAGCTGGACTTTGTTCAGTCAGTGTAACATCTTGACTGTATTGGTGAGCCACCGAAAAACTGGCATTGTTCTTTTGTTGGATAGTGATTTGTACTTCAAGCAGTCATTTGTACTCAGTCTAGCCCTGAAGATCATAAGGTTTATGCAGTGAAACGCGCTGGTATTCAACGGTTTACTGTCTGCTGCATTTGATGC